GATAATTTGTTCTGTCAGGAAATTTCTCCTTAGTTCTAGGTTGCTTCTTTCCTTGATTAGTTTCCACCCATTGCTTCTTGTCCTGCCTTCAGATGCCTTGGAGAATAGCTTGACTCCCTCTTCTTTGGGGCAGCCCCTGGTCTACCTTCTTTTTATTAAACTAAACTACCCAATTCTAGCAACCGCTCTTCATGTTTTAGCCTCCAGTCCCCTAATCATCTTTGTTGCTCTTCTCTGCACTCTTTCTAGAGTCTCCACATCTTTTCTACATCTTGGCGACCAAATCTGAATGCAGGATTCCAAGTGTGGCCTTACCAAGGCCTTATAAAGTGATATTAACTTCAGGTGATCTTGATTCTATCCTTCTGTTTATGCAGCCTAGAACTGTGTTGGCTTTTTTGGCAGCTGCTGCACATGGCTGGCTCATATTTAAATGGTTATCCAGTAGGACTAGGACTGTGTGAGTATAACTTTGTTGCTTGTATCCTTACGATTTATACTGATATTGTTTCCTGATTGCTTATTTGTACCCTATGGCTATCAGTAAGTATTGTACCTTATGATTCTTGATGAATGTGTTTTATTCTCATGTACACTGAGAGCATCTGCACCAAAGACAAATTCCTTGTGTGTCCAATCACTTGGCCAATAAAGAATTCTATTCTATTCACCAAACAATTCATATATTTTACGAGGGTAAGATTGTCAGCAACAAAACACTGAACCCAATCAGCGTTTGCGCTTTGAAAAACAAGGCCTAATTTATGCCTGATTCAATTGTGGTTTATCGCAAGCATGATCAGCGAGAACAGAGTGATATAATAAATTCTCTCTCTTAAAATAACAGTGGCGTCTGTATTTTTAGACCGAGAAGGCTTTGGAAGGTTAGTTTTGTTATTCGTTTATGGTCCAGATTTAGAAAATAGGATTGACTTGTATTCTCCGCGGAGCTGAAAATCGCAGCTGGTAAGAACATAACCAACCTAAAGTAGCTGGTAAGAGCTTAAGAGTAATCTCCTTTTGCTGTAATATTATAAACTGATTTGGGGCAGCCATCATCCTCTTTCAAAAGCGGTTCACTGCATAGGAGGGCTGCAATTTGAGAACAAACTCCAGTCCACTTCCGCGAAAGTTTGTTCTGCAGG